TCTATTTACGAAGCAGCCGGGTATATGGACGTGATCCGCTCGCCTTATAGTGAAATCCTCAGGCCCTTTTAATCTCTCATGAGTTCATCCTTATATCTGAGACTTCTAGTAGCTGGGGGCTCCTCGATCAGATTACGGAACGCGTTCGTCTTATTGCGCCTTAAGGCTCATACTAGAATTCTCGCAGACAGTAGCATAGTGACTAAGGCATAGGCAGCTAAGACAAAGGACATCCGGCCCCCTTGTCTCTGAGACTAGAATAGAACGAAGATGACATTTAGGTGTTGAGGTGGAACCGACAAAGACAAAGGAGACCGGAATGGCCATTTCTGGCTTGTTAGTCGTCATCAACCAGTCATACTCAACCTCAAGCGTCGGAACCGCGGAGATTCGAACCCGGGACCTCTGGGCACTGAGATTAACATTCTATCATTGCACCGCGGGCTCGTTGCTTTGTCGGTCGCGATCGGAAATATGATGAAACTGGGACCTGCAACTGGAACTGCGATCACGAAAGCATGAGCCTCAAGGCACAGCAGGGTAATTATATGCCCTGATTAGATAGATCAGATGAACACCCCACTTCCACATTTAGGTGTGTTGATGTGCTGTTTGGCTACCTGTTAACACATAAGTAAAGAAGAAGGCCATTAGCTTGCCAGATTCATATTTTTATCCATCTGCGCCTTTGAAGTCTTGTGTTAGTCCATCATTAGAGATAAAAGCGACAGCAAAACAAGCACAGTTATAGGGTGTAGGAGTTTAATCCAGTAATGAGATGACTGCACAGTCCTCTGTATGCTGACGCTAGATCGATAAATCGATTGACTGAGTTCGCATCAGAGACCCAGACATCAATCGATTCTCGGCCTGTCTTGCTGACTGTATGGCAGAGCCATTCCACTTAGAGTCTAGTTATTTTATACAGCTAACCTACCAACGCAACAGGGTACACGAAGATTGGGCAAGTTGCTTATTAACTCACTACGCCCTAACTTATTTCCACTCCAGTGACTTGGACTTTCAGAGCGCTTAGAAGGTGAAAGCAGGTAAAAGCTATAATTCAAGTGACGCGCATGTAAGGTCGTGGAGACCTGTTAGCAGAAAACAGGACAGTGGTAGGCAGATTTGGTCGGGGCGGAAATCCACCCATTTTGGCCGGGCTGTTGCTGGATCGGGCCGCTATTCCGAGTGGCACCTCCGCTCGTATCGGCTTCGTCTTATCACTAGAATCGAGCGACGAATAGAAAGAGGGAGTGAG